CAGAAGGTTCAACCTGACCATGAGGAGACCCTTCTTCACTGTGAGGTGACAGAGCACTGAACAGGCTGCCCAGAGAGGTGGTGGGGTCTCCTTCTCTGGAGACTTTCCAAAGCTGCCTGGGCTTGTTCCTGTGTGATCTACCACGTGATCCTGCTCTGGCAGGGGGGTTGGACTAGGTGATCTCTAGAGGTCCCTTCCAGCCCCTTCCACTCGGTGAAATCTGAATGGTCCTGCTTTTGGCAGGCTGGTAGCAGGTCTGGGTCACTTTGCTAACCATGTATTGAATAGCTTTGGCTTTGTCGTTGTCTGTCACCAGTCCTTCTTCGCTGAACTTAGGAAGTTTGTTTTCTGCATGCTCCTTTTGGTGTTTTCTGAAGAATCTAAACTTTATGTGTGTATCTCCAAAAATGTACATATACATTTAAGATATAACCTACCCAAACCCACAAGAAAACAGGTGCACTCAGGAAGATTCATTTTTATCTTTTGTTTGGGCATTCATGGGTGTTTTAGGAAAATTACTTATCTCTGCTTTTGCTCAGCAGCCAGTAGGAACATAATGAGATGGATTAGACAAAGCAAACTGAGCAATTGCTTGTGCTCTATTCATTTATGAAGTACATACGTGGCTTCAAGGGCCTTAGCTTAAAAAACCAAATAAAGCCGTTCTGGGATATTGCCAATTCAGGCGTTCATAACTGATGTTTGGTCTGTCACTTCTGAGCCTTTAGGATTCAGCGCATTTTTTCAAACTTTCCTCATCCATCCAAGGGTGCTGGAGACTTGTTTTGTGGAGTGTATGGAGATCTCATTTCCCTGTCTGAATCCAGGATTTAAACTTTATGAAATGTTTCCTTACTCATCCCTCACCTTGTCCCCCTCTTTTTGCAAATAATGCGACATTTCAGATAAATTGGAAGGTTTGGCACTGCTGTTGCTGCTCGATAATTTGTGATGGAAGTAGATGGTCGCAGTGGTGGGGTGGGAGAATGTGCTGGGTTCAGTCAGGAAGGAGTTAACTCTCTTCACCGTGGCTGCTATGAAGCTGTGTTCCTGGACGCAGAGAGGAGGTGAAGGGGATTTGTGAGAGTGGCTTCGTGATATTTTGCTAGCCGGACCTAAACCACAACAGAGATTTTAAGCTTCTAGGCTGTTAAAGACTAAACAGAATTGTTGTGCTCTGAGTTTTGATGAAAGGACTCATATTTTTTGTTTCCTGGAAAATTCAAAATGTTTTGCTTCAGGATAGGATGGATGCCTCCGAACAGCAAAAGACAGAGCAAGCTTGGGAAGCATTTGTGTCTTTTCCTATAGGGCAGAAGTGGAGCTTGGAATGCTGCAGGTACAGGAGCTGGGATGCAAACCTGCTTCTGCTTTTATCTGAAGTGTAGGACTACAAGTCTACAGGCCTGCAAGTGTGAGGCAGCAGTGTGAGTGCAGCTGCTAGGGCTAACTACCTCTCTACCCATGAAAATAGGGTCTTGGCCTCACATTAATTTATTGCTATATCATCGTTTTCCTTTAGTTTAAATTGAAATAAACTGGAACCAGAATCCAGGATCTGGACACTTACTCCTAAACCATACCTATGACACTTACTCATAAACTCATTTTATTTTTTCCTCAATTTTTTCTGTATGCAAAACCCTTGGATCCAGTCCCTGCACGTGCTCAGAGTGGATATGAGGATCTCAGCCACTGGTAGTGGGTTTGTTTCTTTAGTCCAGCCACAGCTCTGCTGGTACTATCAGCACTGTGTGGGATGGGATATGTGGTATTTTGCTCTGAGGTGAACTGCTTCTGGCCCTGCAATGGGAATATTTGATGAATGTGGGGAGAACATGATCCCACTGCTGTGTCTGGAGTGTAAGCTAATTTCATTTACTTGGAAGCCCTGCTGTTCACTGGCGGTTTGGCCAGAGAATTGGGCACATCATCACTGCCAAGGGCATGGAGATTTGCCCAGGTTCTTTATGGTGTTAAATATCCACTCCCTCATGATGAGCTTGGCTGAACCTTATCTCCAGGGAGGAGCACAGCAGCCTGGGGACATATAACCCAGCTGGGGACCCATGAGAGGGCAGCATGTGATGGCTGGGAGGGGCTGGAACAACAATACACCAGGCATGCCCCGAAACACCCTTGCTGCCTTCACTTGGGCACTTTTGGCAGTGCAGGAGTTGAATTTTTCAGGTCTTCATGAGCTGAGAGCTCTCCTGGGCAGTTTGCACCTTGCCAGGGCTGCTGCTGGTGATGTTTTTGTCAGGGTAAATTTGACCGTTACCTGCTGCAAGCTCATCTCTTTTGCAGCCTGTAGGTAAATTGCAGTAAAAAGATCCCTGATGCCTAGTGGTTTGGCTGCAAGCTCACAGTGCTGGCTGGCAGTGGGAAATGGGACTCCTTGCAGTGTTTGCACTGGAAGTTTTTTCATGTGGTTTATGCCAGCAGTTGTTGCTGGGGAGACCCTGGCAGCCAATGCCAAGTGCTGCAACTTCCATGTCTGTTCTCAAAACTTCAGTTGTTGACGATTTTTTTAAACACAGCTCATGAAAGAAGATTTCTGTGCAAGTCTCATGTTTCATTTTCAGAATACATATGTGTGGCTGAGTAAGCTCAAAGACTCAGAAATCAGATATCACCACCCCATAAAGCCTATGTCTGAAACTTTAAATTCCTGTTCGAGTTTCACATTTTTGGGTGGGATTGTGGAATGTTAAAGCTAAGTTTGGCCGGAATGACAAGCACGAGGCACAGCTGTAGTTACTAAGCAAGTTGCATGTACACAAATGGGGAGATACTGGACGCAAAGTGCTTTTTCATTTTTAGAAGTGCCTGCTGGCCAGGCCCTGGGAGATTTTCCTATTCCTGGTAGCAGAGGTAAATCCCTTCCCCCTTTCATAGACAGGAATTAGAAGCAGCAAACTTAGAGGAGCAGAGGGTGTGAGGGGAGGGAAAGGGAAGCTGAAACGCTGATACCAGGGCAAGTTATTTCTCAGCAGCAGAGCCAGCATGTTTGTATCTCGCCATATGGTTACTGGAAGGTGCACAGGCAGTAGGGATTGCATGTACCACATACCAGAATATCAAAACCAACACAGGACTGGAATTCAGTCCCAGCTCATTTACTGGATAGCCAGCTAAAAGCTCAAAGACCAGGTACACAGTTTTAATTATACGTATCTTTACAGGTTTCCAAAGTTCTGCTGACTCTCTTTTCTCATACCGAAGAGCAGTTCAGGGAAGAGTGGTTCTCTCCCACAAACTGTACCAGCATACTAAAACAGCAAAGTTTGGCTTCTCTCCTTAGCAGCCTTTTAAGTCGGAGGGTGACATTGTTCTCACGAGCACTGTTGTTTGGCCAGCTGGAAGCCTACCGTATCCTGTTGTGCCCTACTTGCTGAGAGGAAAGAGAAAGAACGGCAATGGAGAGGGTAGTTGTCATAGTTATCACGTTAATTCTGCCTTCATTTGCGAGTTTAAACAAGTTCTGTTGAATGTGAACTGGAACCTGGATTAAAAACATAGCACGTGGGTATCTTACAGCATTTAACTAGTTTCAGGTGGTGTTTTGCTTGTCCGTAAGAAGGCCCCTTTCTTTCCCCACAAGTGGATTCCTCACTTGTGTCAAGGTTATTGAGAACTTACTTGTTTGCTTCAGTGCAAAAATCATTATAAGGCCTTGAATTCTTTTTAGTGCTGGGCATCCAGCACATCTAAGAAAGAAGGAGTTGGATCTGTTTCGTCTTAGGCAGCATCAACAGATTTGTTTATTAAATTCCAACCCGTTACTCTTGTGGAAATCAGCGGAAGGCTTTTCGGATGGCACAGGTTGTCAGTTGAATATAACTGATCCTGCCAAACCTTGTTGATGATACACAGGAGGGAAGGAAGGAAGGAGCCTCACTAGACTCTCAGGGTATGTTCAGGCTGTGAACAAACATCCTGCTTCCAATGCATCTCTGTGGCTGGAAGGAGTGACTGCCAGAAAACGGTCCTTAACTGCTTTTCACCCTCTCCAGTCTGCGTGTGGAAATCCCCATGGTCACGTTCCCTGCCCTGCTTTCACTCACGCTGAGCTCAGCTCGTTTGAGGAGGCTGGTTGGTGGGCATTTGCCATGTTGGCTCGTTTTCCTTGAGGAGGGCAGGGTGTGCTCCCACGAGCAGCTCCCCTGGCACGTTTGAAGGAGCGCGTCCCTTGGATGGAGAAGAGTGACGTGCAGGGTGGTCACCCATGTCCTGCGCCATTGTGGTTGTGCCTGGGTCAGAGTTTGCCTCTCCCCAAGCCTCCCCGGCAGCCAGGAGTGTCATGCAGTGCTGCAGAAAGCTGTAAAAACCCGGGAGGGGGTTTAAGCCCTGCCAGGGTTTGCGTGCAGCCCCTGGGGAAGTGGCTCCTTATTGCTGGCCTGGTGGGGAATTTTGCCAAATAAAAAACGGAGCTCCAGGAGCGTTGTGTTTACTGTCACCTTTAGTGCAAGCTACACCTCTAAATTGGATTTACTGTTATTGCATGTGTCAGTCTGGAAAATCAAATTTGGTGTGTTTGTTTTTACAGCGGAAAGATAAATCTCACTTCTGGCATAAACACGTGGGATTTCATTGAAGTAAATGCAGTTGTACTTCTGTCTGAATTCTTGGTTTTGGCCATAAATCTCCTCTCCTTTTTAAAGGGACTTACTTTCTCTGTTGCATTGAGTTCAGAGTCACGCTGCGAAAGCTTTGCACTCCTTTTGGAAAATCAGGGAGGGACGTCTCCCTGCGCGCTTCAGCTTTCTCCAAAAGATTGCTTCTGTCACAGCAGATCAGTCTTGGAAGTTTACAGGCTAGGAACAACGCGTAGCAGTGAAGGTTTGTTAAAGGGAGAGGAGAGGGGCCTCTTCTGCGGATCAGAGGGGCGCGCAAATGGTGAAAGCGATGGGAAGGGAGGAAAAGACACACCCCTGATGGAGCGGTGCCTTCCAGGGAGCAGCACCCACTCGCTCGCAGCTGGAGCCGGCGAGCACAAGCGCGCGCAGCCCGTGAGGAGAGTGCGAGCTGACGCGATGTGCTTCAACTCGATGCAAAATGAATGAGCCGCTGTTCTCGGGGGTATTCGGCCCCCGTCGTGGAAGTGCAAGTACGCGGCCGCATCAAGTGCACTTCGCATCATCCGAGGCATAGCTGCAGGCTGACAGAAACGGGGACCGGGCAGAGCCTGCGGTTGGGTGTTTGCGTGTGACGCGCTTGGCATTAAATTCCTGTTTGCTGCAACAGAAAGGTAAGAAACTTAGAAAGTGACAAGGAGAAAAGCTCAGCCGCCCCCCCAGACAGTTTCACCTTAGGAGCAGCCTTTGTCTCGTGCTGTATTTTCAAAGCTATGGTCTATTAGTCTAACGCTTCTGTGTGGATGCCTGCGAGGCAGATTAAAGCTCCTGGTGTGACAAAGGCAAGTCAGATCCCTCTTCTCCAAGAGCTGACACTTAACAACCTTGAGGAGAGCACTGTAGCAGAAATGCTGGACTGTGTGCTGAGCAGTAAGTATTTGATGCTGTTCTCCCTCTCCTTTATCCCTTCAGATGCTGCTCTTTTGAGCAGTAAGCTAACAAATGGATAACGATGATTGATGGGCTTGGGGGTCTGTGTTCGGCTCAGAATTAAGTGTTCCTAAACTGGCTGCGGTTACTGGCTGCATATTGACCAGCCTGAGTGTGTAGAGGGTGATTGTAATTTGTTTTTACTGGTAATGTTGTGCTAATGGATAAAAAGATGCTATATTTAGGAACAGCAGAAACCTCAGTAAGAAACTTCCCTGTGTTTTCCCACATGCATACGGTGCCTGTATCATTATTTCTGTGTAATTCCCAGCTAACTTCTAGCTGGCCAGTCTGGGCTTTCTTCTTTCAGCCCATCATTGACAGTGGAGACTGTGCAATTTGAAATATTTGTAAAGCTCCAGCAGAAGTAAAAATGTTTAAAGACAGAAGTGTTACAGTTGGGGGGGGGCGGGGAGATACGTGGTGTGTAAAAATATATTTAGTTGAAGTGAAATCGTTAACAGCTCTTTTGGCAGAAGAGGAAACTTCAGGAGTTAAATGTAATATATTGCCTTGAGGTCTCTGTGCTTGCTTAATCCTATCTGTATTCATAAAGAATTTGCAGCAGGAGAAATTTCATTGATTTGTTAATTGATATATAGCTTTGAATCCTCATTACGCCGGGTACAGAGGGGAGGGAAGAGAGACAAGCACATTTATCTTTTTCTTTAAACTCAGCAGCTTCACTCTTAAATTAGGTTTCTCGCCTATTATGGAACCTCATTGCTCTCCCTGTTCTGTGCTTTCTTAAAGGATTTTTGCCTCCTTAAAGGATAGCAAACATTGCTGAGTCTTGATCTCTATCAGGGAAATACATGAAGTGTTTCATCTCTTAAAACTATGGCTTAATTATGTTTTTGTAACTGTTGCCTTGCAGCTAATGTAATTATAGCAACTTGTGAGTGAGGAAAAGGGTATTATTTAGCCCTGGAGCATTTCTTAGTAAAAATTGGCTTATTTATTTTCATAAGTTAAAAGAGAGAAAGAGAAAGGTGAAAGAGAAAGAGAAAAGTGAGCTTTTATTATGTAATGCCATTAAGAATATATTTTTTTTAAGTACAGGCTAGTTTTTCCTTTTACAGCAGTGGATGTATGTAAATAAATAACCCCATCTGTGAAGGTTGAACACTGCTCAGTTGGAATACAGATGAGGATCAAGCAAAGTGTGTAAATTAGTATTTTAGATAATGAAGGTGTCTGCTGAAGGTCCGTGGTGTTTCTTGTATTGTTACAGTCTGTGGGCCGCATCCTGTTGAGCGAGGCTTTCCGGTTCACCGTTCGGAGTTGCCTGTGTTTCGTGACATGAAGCAAAATTCTGTTACTGGCTACAATATTCTGATCTAATTGATACGAGAATACAAGTATTGATTCGTCTGCTCTGTATAGCTTTAATTTGTGTTAGAGTGCAGGCTTTGTTCCGGTGTAGTTTGAGATAAACTGAGATAACCTTATTCTCTGGGTGAGCCTAATCCAGGTCAGAAACTGAAATTTAACAATACTAAAACAGGGAATATCAAGTCAGTAGGAAACGTTCCGTTTCATTTCCTCCCATTAGAAAGTAACTGGCATGACCCTGAATTTGGTTTGGTATCTGCCAAAGAAAACAACATCCTCTGTTGTTGTAGTTGTATTTTGATGTGATATTAAAGCCTTCTCTGTATGTTTTTAAGAAGTTTCCAAATCGGAAATATCTTTATGGCTGAATTTAATAATGCTTTAAAAAATTGAAGCAGAAAATCTCCTATCCACCTTATCCATCTAAAATGATGGTCTAGTGATCTGGGGCAAAGGTGGCCTCCTGTTCAAAGTTCTTTTCATGCTTCCAAAAATGTTTTTGTTTTCCCTGACAAGCCAAATGTAACACATCCTAAGGAGAGGTACGTGGTCTGTAGTGGGTTAGGAAAGGTGCCTCAGGCTTACATCAGGAGATGGGGTGCCTGCGGTGGCCGTGTGTTTCAGGGAGCTGTAAGTGCACCCACTCTTTCATCCCAGGTCCTCACTCACTGTCATTTAGTGTGTGCAGATGAGGGAAACCCTGAAGAAATGGTAAACGGACCTGGGGTTGCTTATTTATGGAGAGGACTTGAGGATTAACAAGGTACCAGCTTGCCTGTCAGATAGCAGTGTGATGTCTAGCACCCAAACTCTCAGTGGGACTTCAAGCCTCAGGTCTGAAGAGTACAGTTTAGTCTTTACAAAATGTGGGTTCATGTAATGCATCACGCTGCCTCATATTTTCTTTTTATTGTAAAAATAGGACATGACTAGGTTATAGTAGTCTTCATAATGTATGATTAGCAACAGAAGGCTAGATCAAGCCATCAATTTTTAAGCAGAAATTTTCTTTGCTACTAGTGGAGAATTGCTTAAAAATTGATGGCACAATCTGGCCCACAGCGAACAGGGGATTTCTGCAGAAAGCGCTAGTTGTACTTCTACTCAGTATCCATCCTGGTGGTGGCAGGGACCCAGAAACTCAAGGCCAGTCTGCTGGAATGTTCTGGTACTTGTTGGAAGACAAAAAAAAAAAAAAAAAGGTTAAAAAGGTACCAAACCCTTAGAAAAATTATAAGCCACAACTATTTTCCTTTCCGTGAGAGTAACTATGTTTCTCTAATGGCATACAGAAGTGAAGGACATAATCATTCTCTAAGCAACAGAGACTTCCAAACGCACAGAAATGAAGGTTGTTTCCTTTATTTGTTCATGTTACGTTGCTGAGGTGTAAATACATTTCACATAAACATTTTGCTGCATTAAGTGCTACTAGACTTTGTAATTACAAATTAGAAAACCAGAGTAGGGCCTCTTCGGTGCCTCAGAGCATATGCTTGGGCAAGTACTTATAACTGTAAATAAAGACGAAAGGCTTGTGCCACGCATCGTGATTTTTCATCAAGTAAAATGTGCTTTACTCCGCTAAAACTCCATGTTAATTGACAGCAAAGACATTTCAGCAGGTCATTACCTCTTAGGAAGAGAGATGGTCAGTAGGTGGTCGCGTGGGTGTAGTCCCGCATAGAAGATGTTTAAGGACCACGACGGTCAGAGAGCAGACCTCTGTATTTGCTCAGGGTGTAGGTGACACATGGCAGCCTTATTTTTTTCTAATCTGCTCAGAAGACAACAACTGTGGATGTTGTAGTCAGCCAGACTGTTAGGGAAGCTACAGGAATGAAGAGGTGTGAAGTGTTAACCTCTTCATACTCTTAGCCGAATGCTTCCATCACAAAAATGGTTGGGATGTAGACTTAAATTAACTCTTCCAGGTCCAGGGGAGCAGACTTCTAACACGGTCCCAGACTCATGTGCAGTGCGGTACCCCACTAAAACATTAGCCAAGCATGGGAGCATCACCTTGATCCTCAAACACCTTGCTGGAGATGCCAGCAAGATCAAAACCCATTAGTTTCGTTGTGTCTTGCTCTCCATCACGTTGTAGTCTTAGAGCGGCCCTTGTTGTAGCAGAAGACAGAACAGTAGTAACAGTGGAGTATGTAGAGCCCAGGACATCTGTCTTGGTCACAGGGATGGATGGGGTGGCTGGGGCTCTGGGGCATGTCATGTCACCTCTGCCAGCCTCCTTTTGCCCACCGCTGCGACAGGGCCATAGCTGGACACCTGTGTAAGCATAGCATCGCCACGTCCATCTGCACAGCTCGCGTCCGCCCTGTGCGTTGAGGCATTTCTGTTACAGACTCACAGGAAAAGAGTTACCCCGGAAAGGACCACAGCAGGTCACCTAGACCAGCCTCCTGCCCCAAGCGTGCAGGGTTGGGGGTCACATCAGGGCCGTTCCTGGTTGGAATCTTTAAAAACCTCCAAGAACAGAGACTGTGCAGCCTCTCAGGGTATCTCTCTGGGCTGACCCCCTCTCTTGGCAGAGAAACTTGGGTTTGCTTTATTTTTTAAACCCTCCCATGAACGAGTGGGAGACACTAATTAGATCATCCTCCCAGTACCTGATCCCCAGGCTAAACAAGCCCACCTCCAGGCTAAGCAAGTCTGGTTCCTGCAGCTCTAGTGGCCTTTTGCTGGGCTCATGCCAGTTTGTCGCTCTCCCCCCTGTGCTGGTGGGCCCAAACCCGGGTGCAGAAATCCAGATAGAGCCTCATGAGCGCCACGCAGAGGGTGGTTTCTGAGGGATAGGGGTGTTACCGCTGTGCCTCTCAGTTATTCACCTCCCAGTGATGCCTCCCATTACCCTTCAGCATGTGGGGTGGACATTGTATATCAGCGATCAGCCCTCAGGATGCAACTTGCACCAGACACCAATCTACAAGACGTGGGGCTGGAAGGAAATGCTGTCATTACTCAAGCATGGACACGTACCATGCAGGTCTCTCCCACAGGACGGTGCCCCATCAATAACACTGGTCTCTGCAACTGCGTTGCCTCAGCTGAATCCCTGGGCTGGGTATGAATGACCCTGTGCAAGAGGAGGGCGGGTGACGGGGGTCAGGGATGCAGGCACCCTCAGCAGTACCGTAATACGCTGCTTCCAAAGGAAAACAACCTGGTGTAAATGAGCTAGGCAGAAGAGGTGGAGAGAAGACGACTGTCACCCCCTTTGTGGGGAGGCAGCATCCCCTCAGGGCTCACTTTGGAAGAGGGGCTGCTTTCTCACACCTCTGCAGGCTTAAAGGTTGTGGGCCGTTTTCCTCAGAGGTCTTGACCTTTTCTCCTCAAAAATGAATCTCAAATCCTGCATAGCAGCCCTGACACACTTTCCAGGTATCATCTTCCCGTGTTATTGGCAGGCTCTGGCTTGACCCCTTTTAGCTCAGTCAGCTTGGAAAAGGATATGTAGAGAGCACCATCCCAAAGCACTTGGGCAGCTGCTCATGCAGCATTTCTGGCACTCAGAGCCGTCAACAAAATCTGCCGTTCAAACTGAAACTTCCCATGCCTGCCTTCTAGCCTTGGGGCGGTTTATATTCTGAGTTTGAAGGTAAATCATTCAACCATATTTGAGCTACCAGAATGTGAAGGGAATACAGGCAAATAGCCTTTTGTGTGGAATTAATTAATAAATTACAGGACACTATATGAGGAGATACTGGGTTAATTGGAAAGCTGTAATTAACTGATTAGAAGCAGGAGACGGCCCTCCCCTTGACTCATGTGCATCCCATGGCGTGGGAGTCCCTCAGCCAGAGCCCCGCTGCTGCCTGGGGAAGCCCAGCAGCCCAACTGCTTGTGTTTTTCTCTCACCTCCTCTGGTTTGTTCTTTGTCTGTGCTGGCAGCTGCAACGGTGATTGTTCTGTACGACTGTATTTCACGTAACGATAGAGGAATTAACAGATCTCCCTTTAAAAGCTTGCACCAGCAGGTCATGTTTTGCATCTAATTGTACTGTGTTCAAAATCTGCTATATCCAAGACATTTCTCCCTTCCTCCCCCCCCTTTTTTTTTTCCCCCTTAGTACATTGTGCCTAAATTGCTGGAAGAATTTTGCAATATACAGCTTTTTTCTGAGAGATAATCTCTGTTTGTCCACTTGATATGAAGCCAGTGATTAATGCATGAAGAAAATTATATATATTTTGCTTCTCATACTACTTAGAAACTTTGGTCTTATTTTCTGAGAAAATAGAAGTGATACTGCTTTCTCAGTTCTGATTTTCAAATTGGCACTGAAACATAGAATCAAAGGCCATTTAGGCTTGAAAAACTTCCAGTATTCGCAATACTGAGATGTAGTTTTAACCTTTTAATATATAAAATGTTAGCAGTAGGCATGGTGAAACCCTTGATGATTCTGCAAAGCCCAGTGGAAAGCCCGTGTAGCTGAAGCAAAGAAAGGAGTGGGATTTTGGTTGGGGAGATCCACACAGGTCACCACTGGATACTGAAAAGGGGAAACTCCCAGTTTAGTTCGTGGAAGGAAGCAGAGCAGAGAACCCTGTGTTCTTCATAGAATCATAGACTGGTTTGTGTTGGAAGGGACCTTAAAGACCATCTAGTTCCAACCCCCCTGCCATGGGCAGGGACACCTTCCACTAGACCAGGTTGCTCAAAGCCTCGTCCAGCCTGGCCTTGAACACTTCCAGGGATGGGCCATCCACAGCTTCTCTGGGCAACCTGTTCCAGTGCCTCACCACCCTCTCCAGGAAGAACTTCTTCCTGATATCCAATCTAAACCTCCCCACTTTCAATTTAAACCCGTTCCCCCTTGTCCTGTCACTACAGACCCTTGTAAAAAGTCCCCCCCAGCTTCCTTGTAGGCCCATCTTTTCTTCTTTACAATGAGGCTCTGGCTCACACTTCCATTGTAAAATTTCTGGGAACATCCTTTACATGTTTAAATACAATTCTTTCCAACTTGGCTGCTTTCATAGCACCATGGAACAACCCAGGTTGGAAGAAACATCAAAAGACCATCTGATCCAACTGTCACAGGAAGGGGAGCCTAGGTGAGATTGTCTAGCACCCTGTGTAGTGACATCTTGAAAACTCCCATGAGGAAGCCTCTCCCGTGTCCCTGGAGAGGTTGTGCCGGTGAATTACTGTTCTTCACTGGGAGCCACGTGGAGATGACAAGGGGCAGTGTGTACAAGTTGCACCAGGAGAGGTTTCACCTTGACGTAAGAAAGAAGTTCAGTCTCTCGCTACGTACACGTGCACCCATGTGCGATATGCACCCCATGTTGGACGGATGCGCTAGCTGTCCATGTGCACGTTTAGTTAAAACCTGCCTTAGAAAGCCTGTGTTTATCCCACATCTACTCACTAAGACATTTCTAAGCAACAGATCTGTAAGCTTTGCGCGTTTGCTGAAGTGAGATGGGTCTAATGGGAACTGGATCCCTTCCCTTCCCTGTGCTCTGTCTTTAATCCTGCCCTTACTACTTGAGATAGGATGACTTCTCCACTCCACTACTTTGTTTTCTCAAAGTCAGTTACAAACTAGGATGATGTAGCGTCCCACGTTTTTGTGCCCAGTGCGTGAACCTTGCGCAGGCGCTCACTGGAGATAAGCCCTTCTTAACAGCGGGGAGTCGTGAGGTGCATGCAGGAGGCAGGGCAGGAGGGCAGGACTAGGCAGCTTGGTAATCCCTGCAGAGACACTATACGTGGCATGGAGTGGTGTCCTGTTGTTACGGAGGGGTGGGCAGAAGCAGGCAGCAACCCGCCCCATTCCCCCGCACAGCTAACCCTTGGTGGGAACAACCGTGAGCGCTCTTCACTCCAGAAGTTTGGGGGGGTTCGTGGCGGCTTTTTTTTTGGGGGGGGGCCGGGGACCCGCAGCAAGCCCCCCCAGGGCTCAGGCAGGGAGCAGGGCAGGCAGAGCTGCTCTGCAGGAAGGGGAAAAAGGGCACCCCCCGCCAGGGAAGCTCGTGCCTCTGCTGCCTGCCTTTGCCTTCGGGAAAGGGGCGTTGGTTAAGTCACACCAGGAGTTAGCGGTTGCTGAAGGGCTTCAGAAGTGATGGCGTGTAGTGATTTTGTGCATCCTGGCTTCAGCTCTGTGTGAGGTGGCTACCCCAGATGTCGCTTCTTCGGGGTGCACCATTCAGAGGAGCCCAAGTGACCTTGGGGTGTGAGCTTTTGGAAAAACCATTTTAAAAATTTCTGACCATCTTTCTTTTCTTCCAGTTTAAACAATGGAAGGTTTTCACTGCCAGAAGAATTAGTCTTGTTTGTTTTGTCAATGTCTGCTTTAAATAGTGTTATTTTGGAAGAAGGCAGGTTCATGCACTTTGTATGTCTGTTTATGCTTTCTGCATACTACTTCCCGGACTTGCCTGTGGTATTTTAAGCTTGATTACCTCCCAGGGTTGATATGTCTGCGCTGCCTCTCTAAACTCAGCTGATGCCTCTTGGCGTCTTCGCGTGTTTCCAAAAATACAAACTTCAGAGCAACAGGATTCAACCAAAATAAGTGTCCGAAGGAAACAGTGGCAGCGTGCTCAGATAGGCTGTGTTACAAGCAGCCAACGTTAAACCTACAGCACTTCTTTCAGCTACCCTGCCTCATCGTGTGCTGGAGCTCTGTCTGCCTGAGTGCTTTCTAACTTGCTCTTTCTGTTTCTTCATGCTTCCCTGGATTCAGAGAGAGGTAAATGATTTTCCTTTTTTTCCATTATTCCCTGTATTCATCCTTCTGGCATGCACCAAATAATGCTTGTATGGGCTTGCTTGTATCAGTGAACAGAAGCTAAACTTCATGAGTGAATTCACATCCTTCTGTCACCTTTCCCCCTTGCTATTAACAGTATTTGTCAAGTTGATATTGCTTTGGGGTGTGTGGGGGTGTGTGTGTGTTGTGTTTTCCCCAGGTCCCAAACCCTCAAGCACTAGAACAGTTTAAAATCATGCAGTGCAGTGATTTGATATTTGCTTCTGGTGTTTTGAATTTAAAATGTAGACGCTGTTGTTATCTGTAATCTGAGATGCAGGAAAGTGGTATTAAAATCCCACCTTTTCTTTTTTCAAAAATGAACAGACATGATGCATAGAGCAGGGAATTTAAGAGCCAAGTTCAGCAAGAGTTGGAAAAAGTGTTTATTTCCTATTTTCGGTATTTGTTTCGGATCCAGCTGGCATGGTCGCTTGTCTTTCAAGTTCGAAGAAAAGTTGTCCCCAGGATGTTTGATTGGTTTCAATGCACAAAGGGATCGTTTGGGGTTCTCCACAATGCTTCCCGTTTCATGGGAGCGCAGACAGTAGGGCATTGTAGTCAGGTGCTTTGCGGTACAAGGGCTGCAGCCACTCCAGAGGCTCTTACTGATAGAATTGCATCCCTCCGGTGAGGTTTGGGGATTGTTTGCTCCTCTGAATGGCAAGGTCTGGATACTGGGGCCGGGCGGAAGGAGCGTGGTGTGGAGATGCGGACCGTTCATCGCGTTTGCCTTGTGGGATACGGTGAGAATGGTTTCCGGGCTTGGATGGTTTTTAATCAGTTCTTTAGGCAGCGTTGGCCTAGGGAAATGTTTGAACGTTCTTGATTATGGCTTTGCAATCTAATGTCGATTCCGTGCCTGTGGGAAGCGATGATCCTCCCAGACTGACGCTGGCAAAAACGTGCTGCAGGCAGATTCGTGGGTAGTGTCTGTGCGCAACGGCTGCGTTCTCTGCCTGAATAATAAAGAACAAAGGAGGACTAGTAAGCACCGCTTATCAAACAAATCACACTGGAGAGATTAACTGTCTGGTGTAGTCTGCTGTCGTCTTCAGTTCAGGCGGTAGCAGTGCTTTGAGCATCTCAGCTCGATGGATTACTTTATTAAATCTTCAAATGTTCCTTATAAACAAAGGCCCACGTCTTCCGATTAGATCTGGAAGATAGCACCGTTGTCAAAAATATCTAAATACTAATTTGTCAGAATCAAATTTGCAGGATCTGCTGCAGAGCAGCTGTTCAGAGGTTCACAGGCGTAACACCACAGTCATTTGCTTAAAGGGAATTCAGCATTCATCAAAAATGCGAGACTGGCCATCCTGGGGAGTCAAACTGCCACTTTGCGATGCTACAGAGGGGAAGAAGCACCTACAACGGCCTTGGCAACGTACCCCATTTGCGTGCCCTTTCCTTGAGAACCGCTGTGCGGGCTGGGAAGGCAGCCCATGGAACCTGCGTGTTCCATGAACGTGGTGAAGCAATTCAGCAAAGAAAAAAAATCCCAAACCCCACGTGGGAAAGCGCGTCTGGGGGAACGGCTTCTGCGGCTTCACGAGGATCAATCTGCAGGAAGGAAATTGGAGTGAAAGTCGTGCAAATGCGTTCAGGCTTGGAAGCGCTGGGCTTGGAAGGGCTGAGCTGGGTATCGGACGTATCAGCTCTGTGAGGGTTTAAACAAATTTTGGAAGCCTGCAGAACTGTGGCAGTGATAAAACATCAAAGAAAAACCGGCAGGCTGCGTGTTTTAGGGCTGCCAGATAAAGGCCTCCGAGTATTGCACAAAGTAGCCATAGCTCCTCCTTGAGAGTTAGCAAGTGACGTTATCAAGGAATGAGGCAAACAGCCTTTCAGCAGGGGATAATTTGCCCTACAAACTTTATGCATGAATTAGAAGAACAAGCTGCTCTGTGTCAGTGCCAGACCATCTGAGGAGAATTTAATAAATGCAGAACCGATGTTTTGCTGAGAGGAAACCCATTTTCAAGTTGTGTGAGAACTGAAATAAGAAAAGTCTCCTCAAAGTCTCCCCTTGGGAGGGCATCTTAACTGCTTGCATCAAAAATTAATGACCAGGGTGGTGTGGTGGTGGCCAAGTCTGCCGTTCTGGATTGTAGCTGGGAAGCAGCCAGAGAGGTGCAGGAGCTCTGTGGAGTGGAGCACTTGGAGTGAAGAAAAGGCTTTCGTATGACTTTAGGATGGCAAGCAACTGTCAGAAATGTAGGAAAAAACAATTATCTCCCACATCTCTTCCAACTGTAATCACTGAGGAGAGTACATGTGGTTAAATGCACCATGACTATCTGCGGAAAATGGGAAGGAGAAGACTGGTGGGACTAATCATTGGAGCAACCATTTCTCTTCCTCCTCCTGCAGGATTTGATTCCAAAGTAGTTGGCAGTCACCTGGAGAAGGCGCTGTGGGTTTCATCACAGAATCAGAGAACGGTTTGGGATGGAAGGGACCTTAAAGATCATCTAGTTCCAACCCCCCATATCCATATTTCTTAGGAAAGTGTGGGAGGGAAGCAGTGGTTTCATTCAGTGTTTGTCTGGTAGGTGAAATGGAAGTTGAGAGGTAAAGGTAAATCTACAAACAGATTTTGCAGCTTGTGTGAATCCTGTTTTTTCTTCTAGTTTTGGTTTCATACCTTTGGATTTTTTTTCTCCCTGACTTCGCAAACTCCTTGTTGTGTGCCTAATAAAAAGACAAGTGAACTGACCAGAGTCCCAGACTTAATTTCAGCACGTCCCTTCCTCCTGGGTCTCCTTCTTTCTATGTGAAAGAGCATTCTTGCTAAAAGATTTTAAAATCTTCACCCAGAAGATCCGTCCCCTTTGTCATATATATTACTGCAGGATTTGTTGCATCCCATAATCTCTGCCATTTGTGGTACCAGAATATTTGTCTGTCATGGAAAAACCCCATCAGAGCATGGCCTTGTTGGTGTTATATTTATCTTCTTTCTTCTCACGTGTCTCTTCTTTGCTCGTTTACTCCGTTCCCACGGACGTTCATGTCTCCGTGGTGAATGCTGCCTTCTGACCCCGCTCTGCCATAGCCGTGCCTGCCCTCCCCTTTTTAATTCCTGCTTTCACAAATCCCTGGCCGGCTGGTTGCAGGAGAGCAAAGTGAAGCCTGAAGGTTATAGACTCAGGAGAGGATTTCCCCGCCGCCCGGCAGCCTGTGCTCTGTGACCCCGCAGTCGCAGGCGTCTGTACGGTCGCACCAGTATGTACAAATCAACAGCCGTCTTCCGTAGGCTATTCTGGATGAACTTCAATCAATTTTAAGCCAAGCCCAGAGGATATAATTTTCTGGTTCAAGGATTCTTGTTACAATTTGTAATACATGAATCTGTAAAGCAATTTACATTTTCCTGCATGTGTATCATTTTAATGCAGTTGTTTGAAATAGCAGCAATTCAATTTTGATTGATAACAGTAAAAATTTTTATTTCTGACTTCCAGGCTAGGGTGTTGGGTGTTTTTAACAAAAAAAAAAAAAGAAAAGGGTTAATGCAGTTCTGCACTCCTTTGAAGGAGTAAATTTACAGTGAGAAGGCAGTAGAGGCTGTGCTGCTCTATCAGGCTGTACTTAATTGGGATGTCTCCTAGGACTCTCCCTAATAGTGCCAAATGGCTATGCCTGCTACTCAAACAGGACAGCATTAGCATAAATTGCATTTAATGTGATTATATTCATCCAGGGTTGAGCAGCTAAGTGATGCTCAGCCAGGTGTTAAATAGGTATGGCTATCTAAGGTTTAGTCAATTACTGTCGACATTTGCCAATTAAAGAGGGTAAAAGAGCAAATAAAAATGAAATTCCTTTCTACTTAGCACCTTACATTGTCTTTGCAGTTCTGGAAAGTGCTTTTTAAAATGTCTCTGTAGACCTGTGCGCTTTCAAGATTAAGAAATTTCGACTGAATTTTTAACTGTTCAGCCCACTTGTGCAGCCAGATAATTTTCTTACCTATTTTCCTGATTTTTCTACCTTTTTAACAGAGTACTGATTTATATCCGGTTTCTGTAACCCAGAAAGATACTAGTGGATCATGTGGTACGTGCACAAATAATTTACAGAAAAAAGAAAGACCTACTATGGAGCATCCCAGCTCTATAATCCTCTGTCAACACCAGTGGTGCACTTGTGTTGTAAAGCTTTAAGAACACAGAGCTTTTTTCTGCAACAAAATACACTGTTCTCCCACTGAACACCTTCCT